ACGGACGGACGGACGGACGGATGAATCTTTGAGGTCTGAAAGCAGTCAATCGCCGGCCAGCCCACGAGCGAGCGCGCGCACCGGCTGGGGGGACTACTCGGCCTGCGGTACCGTTGTAAACAAGTGTCAAGCACCGCCCTCGGCCGGTGGGCCATGAAAGCAGCCAATGAACTGAGGCGACACTTCTACCTTTCACGGTTCATCAAAAAGAACAAATGAATCATGGTAGGATGCCTTCCCATCAATTATTTCTGCAACAGTCTGCTTGCTGTTGTCTAACTCTGTCTCATTGGAATTGAATACAGCTCTAATGTCGAAGCAAATGAGGAAGGACAGGTGTGTGAGCGGTGAAAGTCAAGCGTGGCTCAGTGCTTTACAAGGGATTAGCCGAAACTCCCGTTTTGTGGGAACGATCGATCTTTGGTGCAGTTCACATCGCGACTTTCAATATCAAAAACTGTGCGAACCACAATCACTACGCTTATGCAGAGTGAAAGGGACAAACGCATGCAAAAAATATCGGAGGAGATTATGCGCTTCGCACCACGCTGCACTATTAGTGAAGTCAGGAATTTGTTGACAGAGTTATAAAAAAAGATACTGAAGTTGAAAGCGAGAAGTGGACAAGCGAGGAAATAGAATGTATGTAACGAAGAACGGTTTCAGAAAATACCATTTTTGAACACTGCCGCAAGTTTTACGCGTACAGCTACGAGCCACATGTGTACATGCAGCACAAGAACAAACGAAAGTGAACCAAAACTCTAGTAATAATAGAATTACCTGAATGAAACTGCCCTCGATGTGTAACTTTTGGTCCATGTATATGCTTCCCCAATGAGGCGCAGCACTTCTTGGGTTCATAGAAAATTAAGTGATATGAATAGAAATGAACATGTAAATAGCGAAATAATGAAACTTTAAAGACCGGCAATCAGCCAAGCATATTGCCTGAGCTATTGGTCGCTTTTTGCGACTCTTGGAGTTGTGGCGCTTAGCAGAACGCCGAATCGAAGATATGGATTTAATCCTTACCAGAGGGCTACATATTCCACGTTCGGTGGCATGCTGTCTCGTTGCAGTGGTCGACCGAGGCCGATGACCGATGTAGGAGGGAAGCGAGGGGATGAGATGGAGAATGGCGAATAGAATTGTGGACCCACAAAACCGTTGTACTGTAAGGATCAGGTCAAAGCGATTCAGTAGTACTCGTTCCTGTCAATTTAGAAACTCACAAAGTCAGCGGCTCTCTTTTTGACTTTGGGGCTGACAGTACCATCATGTGTAAGAGTTGTGAGCGTGTGGCTGCTGTCGGTTACGACGTCTGTACCTGATCCCTCGAGATGTTCGAGCAGCACGGATCTTTCTATGGCATGATCCAAAGCGAGATCGGCTGACGAGGAGGCTAATGTTGAGTTGAGTGCTTCAGCACGTTGTATTAGAACGCCCCAGAAGGTCACCCAAAGGGTGACTCGGAGCCTGGGCATTCCTTGGAATGAATCCTAGAAGGTTCTCTATTAGAGAACTGTTCTCAAGGATATACTGAAACCGATTTGTTGAAAAATAGCTGTAGCTCTATTTCCGTGAAAAGTACGAGAAACTGAACTGTCTTTGTTCAAAAATACTGAGGCGCAATAATCACCGAGGAGGATTCAACGATTCACAAATACATTCACCATACTACCAGTTGTGGAGTGTATTAATAAACAAATAATCCACAAGAGCTATTGATTTATACAAGTTGATTCATAAAACAAATCAAACAATTCACAAACAAACAAAAGAAGCAATCGAACTCAATCTTTTGAAGAGGGGTCATAAACATTTGGCTCCCCAATCAGCGAGGCCATTTGGCAGGAAAAATAGGTCAGTCAAATTCCAGATTCCGGTTCTCAATTAATATCGCCATCAGGGCAGTGCTCGACAACAACTAAGTCCACACGTGCACGTTGGACCTGTGAGTCTAGTCGAAAAAGGAATGTTTGAGAAGCTCTAGCTTAACACCTTCGCCTAACAACATGCAGCTGGAATGATAGATAATTTGTAGAAAAAGGATGAAGATCATGGAGGTCGCTCAGTGGTAGGGCGCTATCTTTAGTTATCCCTTTTGCATCATCTATGTACTTATACAATAGCTTCATAGCCATGGTGCTGCAGAGAGGGAAGTAAGCTTTTATTCTAGAGAAGATCAGTCGCAGCAACCAGACATCCAGTTGCAGCAACCAGGCTTCTTGTGAAGAAGTAAACAGCCATAACCAAATATCGTCTACTTGTGGAATCCCACCCATTCGAAAAGAAGATCAAGAGTTTCGTTCGAGCTTTAGGAGTTGCCCTTTCACTAACCCGCGATTGATAACCGCACCATCGTAGATGCGTGAAAATTGATAAGATATGATCAGTAATAGCATGAGAGCAGAGTGCAAGTATGGGTGGGATCCCTTAGCGTTGCTATTGTAGACAGTTGTCACACGGTGCAAATTCTTCTTCCTCGGGCCATGAATCACCTAACACAAAAGAATTTCATATTATTTTGACTTGCTCGCGGAAATGTATTGGTTTGGGACCAAAAATTTGGATGGATTCAGCTTTGTTATAAGATTTGGACGAGACATTTCACTCGAGGCAGGAAATACAAAACCAGCAATGGTTGGCATGAGTATTTGTCTGCATAAAAACAGAGGCTATACATGAGAATGGAGTTCTTCCTCCAGCCGGGAATCAGAAAAAGGCACTAACAGGACCTGGTATCGTTTAGAAAAACAATAGAATAGAACTATAGAATGAATTCTGTATCTATAAGCCGATGACTCCGACTAGCAGAAACGAAGTTCAACTTCACCGATGAGAACGTCTCCATATGAGGCTATGATTGGGAGACGTCTAGGAAAGCTTGAGGAGACTTCTATGAAGGAATTTTTAGGTAACTTCTCCTCAATGGACATTGATGACGTGGGTCTCCCAAAAAATGAACCCTGTGTTCGTGTACTACGAGATTCTAAGAAGTCTGTATCTTCCTATTAGATCGTCAAAACATTAAAATATTTGTGGGCCGGGAAGACTGGGAACCGCGCCCTTCTTCATTCTCGCAACTGATAAGATGCTTTAGAAGGTAAACAAATAGCATCATACTCATAAGTAGTAGTAGAGTTGGCATGAAAGACACGATAGGAACGAGTCCTGCAAGAGTCACATCCCCTAAGGTAGGAAGAAAGAGAAGAAAAGTTATGAAGGAAAGGGAAAAGAAAAGGAGAAAAAGAGCGAAATGGCGGTGAATCAGGTGACGTCCATGTTTGAAACTACGGCAGAGAGAAGAGCAGCTGAACTGCCAAAAAGGCAAGCATTATCGAACGATTTCCAGGCAAATGTGCTAAACCATAGGCTCATGAATCCATCGATTATAGAAGCTCATTTAATCGGACAACCAGAAAAACAAATGGACGTTTAAGAGTCGAAAACTTTTGCTAATGTTGTGATTCTACTGTTAGCCCACAAAAGAGGTCTTAATCACACTTTATCAGAATTCGTGCTGGACAGTACATGGATCCAGAAAACACAATTTTTCAAATTCCGTGAATTCGAATCCTCTTTTCGTGAACAACCGGGTCAACTTCAAGCCAAGGAGGGTTGTACGACATCATCAACCTCAAGGTTTTGTTTGCAAGATTTGCAGAACCCCTCTTCCTTCGTCTCCTGTCCCACACCTGGTGAACCCCTCAGACCCCGCACCCGCCTGCTCCGAAAAACACCTGAAAAACTCTCTCATTGACACATGACGTCTATTGACATCAGAATTACAGAAAGCATACAACATTGCTCCTTGAAAACTGTGCGAGAACATAAAAGAGAGGAATGATGCCTGAGGTACGTAGTCAACAGACGGTTACAGAAAATCATCTGTTTTCATATGGCACTTTGTGATCGATTGAGATTGTAAAAGCACAAAACCAAACTAAGGCTAACTAAAAACCCTCGAAGGAATCCCCACAATGAGCACAACAACAGCTGAGTGGCTGTTATCAGTGCTAGTACAGGTGATTGTTACGCCTGTTTGGCGATGAGTTCTTCTGAGTCAGCCAGTTCTCAAAAAACGAAAATTATACAGTGAACTTTCTGTTGTCGTACGTGTCCCTTTTTATCATATCTATGCATTTGTGCCACCGCCGCACTATAGCATCAGAATAGCCTCTTAGGGAAACGGAATAGAATTCGGCGGATCGCATCGACAGAAACAACCCCTCCCATCTCTTCAATTTTGTTTTATTTTTTCTTCATTGTGGCGCCCGACCCAATATTGTAATGATTCATGTTAAGAATCTGAAACAACCGAATATTTCAGTCCACCTACAAGCAACGTCGTTAGTCCCTGCCCCAGTGCCTTCAGCAAAACCAGTGGACATACTCGTTCTAAGGAGTCAGAAACATCTGCTTTCTTGCTTCATTCAGCGTGTTGCCACTTATAACAACAGTTCTAAAGTACTGCCTATGGCCAAGTAATTGCGACTAACTTCGTCTTGAGCAGGTGCTGTAAGGTTACCGTCTAGGAAGAACAGAAACAGAAGAACGCAGAACAGAGCCTCTTCAATGTCATGGGTTGCAGAACCACTAGGGCATCTTGCATGGGGTAAACAGTACCGATGCTTTCCATCCACGATGGAAAATGAGGAATCCTTTTTCTTTCGATCTTGCAGAAACTCAAACTCGCAGAAAGTGATGCACACTCTACTACTCGCAATAAAAATCTAATAGATCGAAAACAATGAGGCTTGCTAAAAACATGGTAATTACAAACAACAGACCTACATTTCAACAGCACAACTCAGTGGCTTAGGACGGAGGTGGAGTAGTGCCAAATGGAGCGCTGATACTAAAATGAAATGAGATCCAAATATGAAATCAAGCACGGACACCTGCCTAGGTCACCCAAGCTGCTTAACTGGCACGAGTACGACTTAGGGGATTATCGTCTTGATTTTCACATTGACTGACTCGTCACTATCACGGTCAACTATGCGTATAATCGCCATTACGATTCTGAATGGAAGTCAGTGCGTGGGCGCATCTTAAATGGGGAATTAACAATACCAAAAGGCTTTGTCTTCCATTCTTTTAGTCAGCACCTCTGAATGGGTTTTTGCATGCGCTCCAAATGTGAAGAATGGCTTGCTGCTATTGATTCGGAAACATTTTTTGCTTTGTTCTTCGTTTTGAAAAGACGCAGTCCAATTATTCAACGATGGCGGAAGGATTGCTGGTTGTCCTCGGCAGACTTCGATCCCTATTCCTAAAGACGCTAGACTCTATCGGGCAAATTTCTAAGAAGGCTCTTCAGCACCTCTATCAAAATAGACCAGCCGCAGGGGAGGTCTTCATCATCAACTCTTTTGACCCGGCACCGCTATTTTGTTTTTTTCTTCTCAGGAAATGTAAGAAAAGGTACCTCGAAAGAGCACAATTGTTAGCTTATGGATTATGCATGGTATTCACCTTCTCATCCACCTACAATGCCCTCAAATAGACAAATTCTGAGAGAGGAGTACAAGACTGCTAAAAACAAGTCGATCCAGTCTACTATTAAGCGTGAAGTGTCATAGCGAAGAGCTCTAACTATGTACAGTGGAACAAACGGAAGTCACTGTCACAGTGTACGACCGTTGTCTTAGAAACTGTATAAACAGCATTTATATTCTCCTAACTGGTAGATAATGACAACAATATAGGATTGCCCTTCCAAAGTATAAACGGATAAAGCAGCCGACGTCACCCAGTCCCATAACGATATATGTACTGGCGACTTGGCTTTTTCTCAAGATCGCAGAACCTTATAGATATGCTTCTGTCCTTTTTCGAGCTGGAATGGAAAGAAGGGTAAGAGCTCGCTCCAACCTAGCTTATCATATGTTGAAGATACCTACAACAGGCACGACGTCACCTCTACACAGTCACGAGAACACACAGTGGACCACGCTGCCCAAACAAAAGATTGTGGTAGCCTACAAGCTACTTCAGGCGCTCCTGGAGTGAATGAACTGACCTATGGACGAGAGACAGTAATGGAGCGTGTTCATTAAAGGTTTAAAAGATTAACAAAAAGTCAAAAGCAGGAAAAAACTTCGGAAAAAGCTTGTTTCACAGCATTAAGGGAAAAAACATTCCCAGAAAATAAAAGGGGCCGTTCAACTAATAAAAGAGAGTCTCTGATTTGTCCGAGATCACCCCGTAGAGTGGTATTCGGTACCAGAACTCATACTTGCCTCCTACATGACATAAAGTCAGTAGCGATTTCCTGCCTTGAACCGTATTCAGTCAAAGGTTCTCATTTCCATATTTCGTTGCCATCTTCGTATGACATAATAAAATGTACTTTCAGACTTTGAAAACTGCATGCTCGATTGAGCAATTCTCTCAAATGTAAACAAAAACACGTAAGATGATAAAATGAATGCTAATAGAAAGGATTTGTCACTGAAAAAAGAGATTTGGGTTTTTT